ACTTAAAATGAAAGTTCTACATTGTAATTTTGGCAAATCCATTCCCAAGGGCAAAAAGGAAACTTTCCCCCAAGAATATTAGCAGTATAATTTCCTTTATTCCAGATTTATTAATATATAATTGACGGGGCTTCCCCTGTGGCGCAGCGGTTGAATGCTGGACTATGAAGCTGCCTGCAGCCTCTGCAAGGCTGGTTCCATCCCCGGCAGCCAGGGAGGGTCCCACATGGCATGCAGACCTCTCCTGCTGCCCGCTGCTCCCCTCAGCAGTGTACTTTGGTCCTTCTGCCTGTTCTGCTCCCTGCTCTGGTTCTGGTGAATTCTCTCACCTCCTGTGCTTCTGAGTGTACCCAGTGCTTGTATAAATAAATAAATAAATCTTTAAAAAAAAAAGATATAATTGACATGTAGCACTGTATTGATTCAAGGTATATAGCATAATTTGATATGTATATATATATATATATTGTATACATTGCCAAATGATTATCATAGTAAATTTGGTTAAAATGTGTTACCTCACAGAGTTGTATTTTTTCTTTCTTGTGATGCAAGGTTCTCTCCTCTCTTTTAACTGTCAAATTTGCAAAACAGTGATAAAACTATATTCACCATGCTGTACATCATCTCTCCAGAACTTACTAGTCTTATGACTACAAGTTTATACCTTTTGATCCCTTAACCCATTTCACCCACTCCCCTCCCCCGCTTAGGATATATATCCAAAAGTAAACCTGCTCAGTCATGTGGTAGCTCATTTTTTTTTTTTTAAATTTTTGTGTAGAAGACCTGGATGTAGGCCAGAGGTGCAGGGGGTGAGAGGATTCACCAGAGACAGGGGAGCAGAACAAGTGGATTTACTGAAATACACTGCTAAGTGGAGCAGAGGGCGAGACAGGAGGGGTCTGCTGTGCCATATGTGGGTAGGCACCCTGGCTGGGGATCAAACTCAGGTCTTAATGGTGACAGTGCTAAGACTTAACCTCTGGGCCACCAGGTAGCTCTATTTTTAATTTTTTGAGGATCATTCATACTGTTTTCCAATTTACATTTCTATCAGCAGTTCACTGGGGTTCCCCTTTCACTTCTTATCTTTTGTCTTTTTGGTAATAGCCATTTTAATGGAATTCTATGAGGAAATATCTCATTGTGGTTACAATTTGCATTTCCCAGATAAATAGTGATGTTTAGCACATTTTCCTGAGTCTGTTGGCCATTTGTATGTTGTCATGTTGAAAAATGTCTATCAATTTCTCTGCCCATTTTTTGATAGGATTGCCTGGTATTTTTTGCTGTTGCATTGTATGAGTTCTTCATACCTTTTGGTTATCCACCCCTTATCAGATAGATGTTTTGCAAATAATTTCTCACACTCTGTAGGTTGCCTTTTCATTTTATTGATGGGTTCCTTTACAGAAGTTTGGGGTTTTTTTTAGTTTTTGTACTCCCACTTATTTATTTTTTTCAGCTAATTTCTAATGGTGTCTTGATAAATTTAATTGTCCTATGTCAAGGAAAATATTGCATTTTCTATTCTCTCTCACCTTCCCCCCTCCCCCCCTCTTTCTTAGAGAAAGAGGCAGAGAGAAGTTGCAGCTTCCCCATCATTAATTAAATTTTTAATGCATGCTATTCAAATGATCAAACTAAATCATTTGTCTTTCCATTTTAAAGGCAATGTTCAATTCTGTCTCATATAAGTTTTATTTTTACAAAGAAAGGGGAGGGGTGTGTGAGAAATCTGTACTATGTGTGCATACTTAGATTCCTTCTCTTCTCCACATGTTCTAAAAATAGAACTGCTATTCAAAATCTTATTTTTAGAAAAAAATGTTGTTCTTAAAGCCCCTTAATTGAGAACAATTCACTCGTCTCTCAGCAGGATCTGCCAGTTTCCCTGCAGAAATCTATTTCGCAGCTTAGCTTTGGGTTTGCTAATCTGTTCATGGTCACACAAGAGAAGATAAAAACTTTATCAGAATTCTAAGACCAGTTGTTCTAACAATAAAACTAAAAAAAAAAAAAAAAATCAGAAGGCAGGCATTCCCAGTGTTAGAAGTTGCCAAATGTAGAACCACAGGTCCTGTGGGACCCATAGGCATTACTTGTCAGCATTTTTAATTGGGTCAGTTTCTACCTTGTCTTTAAAAAAAAAAAATAGATATGAGGACTCTAAACATAGAAGTTGATGCATAGGACCCTACATTGTATTTTCAAGCTCATTTCTAAATATGAAAAGTTGACCTCCAATAGATAGGGAATAAACAGCAGTCCATCAACCCAGAAATCTGAAAATTTTATTAATGAAAATTATTGAAAATTTTATTAATGAAAATTATGCTACCTCACTCTTTCTCCTGAATCTATAACAGGTTCTGCAAGTCTTTCTTCAGTTTGTCACTGAGCTTCTACCCTTGCCCCACCCCACATGCACTGCTCAGGTCTAAGCCTTCATCACATCTTCCTTGGCCACTGTAGCTTTTAGGTAGTGCAAAATGAAATCCTTCCAAAACCTGGTAGGTTGTATGCATAAGTCAATCAGACCAGCAAGAGCATCTGGAACATTAGTAGCAGGCAGCCTCCACTCAACTTCTGGAGTTTATTGTCATCAGATCTAGATTTTTTTCGTTAAGACATCAGAAATCTCCCAGCCTCAATGAGTACTGTCTGTAGGTTAAACCAGACCTGTAGGTTGATTGTTGGTACTTTCTGACCCTAGAGCTACCTGCTCTTAGATTCTTCTATATTCCCTTATAATATCTCAAACTTTGCTAGATGAATCTTTCCAAAATCTGTCTAAAATCTTTCTAAAACCATGTTTTTTATCCTATCTTAGTGCTCAAGAACTTAAGAGCATTTTCATGGCCTACCATATCTACCAGAAACTGTTCCAATTCTCCAGATGTTGTGTCCAATTTTCATTTTAAGTATTTGGAATTTATCCAATAAGTGACTAAGAACCCATGAGAGGCTTTCAAGTTGAAAGGTGACATCATCAATTGCATTTGGTAGTTCCTGGTTAGTTGTGTGGTATGACTTTCGGATAATTGGTATGATATAGGGTTGGGCATTAATTTAATAAGCATAGTCAATGCTTCCCCTAGACTGGGCAAGAAAACTTTGAACTGATATATTGGGAAATTCAGAACAAGTAGAAAACCCAATAGAGTTAGAAGGTATTAGTGAATTTGGGGGAGAAAGTAAAATTTACTTAGCATAAGTCTCAGGATTTGGTAGATTATGAGACTGACCACTCTCTCTGTAGTCTAGCAATGCATTCATTTAAAAGACAGCTCACCTCACTTACTGTGTGGGAGACATCATAACATTAATACTATTCCCTTTCCCATGCAGTTTTTCTTTAATGTTTTCAGTAGCCATGGGAGTAGGGACCAGTGCTACGATCTCAGTTTTATTTGTGAGGAAGGGTATCTAAGAGAGATGGTGGCCTGTCTAGAGCCATAGATCTGATCAAGTAATGCACAGATTTCCCCAATTCTAGTAAAAATCTCTACCAATTCTGTGCAGGCACTGTCACATCATCCCATCCTTGTAATACCTAACATAGTGACATAGAGGTTTGTCACCAAACCACCTTGGCCATCCACTGTCAAGTAAATTGAATAGAATTTTCAGCAACTAATTCCTAGAAAAGTATTGTAACTGTGGAAATATTTGTCTTCAGCTAAGAGAGCTCTGAGTTTTCTTCTTTTCCAAATAAATTTTTTCTGTGTACTTTCACTTTAAATACTTTGGTGAAGGAAACTCTATGGGGACTACACCTGAGGGGGTGGGGGGAAGCAAATATTGTTTAAAAATGAATAATGATTTAAAAAGATAAAATAAATAAATACTTTAGGAGCTAGAAATGTGACATGAAGTGGGGAGGGTTGTACATGTGAGAATTGGATCATAAATAGGATATTTGTGTGAAATGAGGTCATGAAGTCAAAGCACAGTTTTGGGGAGAACTTGGACTTACCCATGCACATTAGTCAATTTGGGGTGTCTTATTTGGGGTGCTGTGTGCAATGAACTGAAGTTGCCTGACTATCTTGGACTGCTAAGTTGCTCTGACTTGCTCTGCTAAGTTGCCTGACTATCTTGGACTGTGGAGTTTCATTCCACAGACTTGAGTCTGAATGAATCTTGATAATTTCCCATTAAATTGCCTCATCTCTGCAGGAGACTATGCCGTGAAATCCTATTGACTACGTCCTGGTATTAGTGTTTTGAAGCTAAACTTGATCTTTGGATGTACAAGTAAATCCTACAGAACTATGAAATCTGTTGTAATATTTTCTGAGTTTCAATGGGACGTTTCTTGGAATGTTTTGAAGATAACAAAAAATAGGCTGTATATAATGAAACTGAGGAAGATTCTTACACTTATATGCTTATGTACACTTGAGTTGTGCTGTAAGGGAAAATATGTATGTGGGGTGTGGGGGGATAAGAATTGACTCAACACACAGACCAGAGATTCCTGCATAAAAATTGGAGAAGATTTAAAGACGATGATAATTCCTAGTCACTGCTTTTGGAGGAAAAAAGCATGCTATCATATTTTAGCAAACTCAAAATAAGTGATTGGATTTCTTTGCATTTTATTTGCATTTTCAACAGCAACAATAAATAAAATAAATGCTAAAATCTGAGGTCAGAAAGTTCAAAGAATGGAGAAGTTAGCTTGGCCCATTACCATCAAGAGATTTCCTAACCAAGAATTTGAAAGATTAATACATTAGAAAATATGTTTATAGTTTCTCACAGATTTTTTTTTCCTTACCAGTAGAATATGTCTTAAAGTGCCATCTGAATTTCTAAAAGAGTAGATTTTTCTTTAAACAATGTCTTGGCAATCTTTGTAACAACAGAGTGCATAATGACCCAATTTTTCTGGTAATACCCATGTCCTAATATTTCAATTAAAAGGGGGAACACCCTCTTTATGCACACATATATACATTCTAAAAGTTAAGAATTAATTGAACACTTACCATGTGCTCAGTAGCATGTGATGAATGCATCCTCTCAAGGTTACCCAGATGACTGACATTTGGATAGAAAGTTTTCTTTGGTTAAATTAGATCTCTGCTGATTTTGTTCAGATAATGTCAAATGATTGGCTCTAAATTTATAGTCCTTTCTGCACATTTACTTGAATGAGATTCAAGTATCCAAATGTGGAGAACAATCACTAGCCTGTTTCACAGCTAGGAGCAATGGAAACATAGGAACCCTAGATACTGGCGAGATAATAGCTATTCTTTGGTCATCGCTTCATCAGCAGCATCCTGCCTTGGCACTAGCTGGGCCCGTCAGACTTTTCAATTTAGATGCAGTTTTGAAAGAGATTCCCTTTCTATGACTGTCATTTCCTTTCAAAATGGTTTATTGTATTCTTTAGAATCTAGGTTACTTTTTATAACATTGAGTCTCTGGGGAGTTGGGCAGAACAAAACACTCCCTGCCATGAAAGTGCCAACTGAGCTAGCATTATAGAACTCTTTCTAGATGAGTTGAGAACTTTAAGGGCCAGCTCTTTGGACACCTGGAGTATGTAATACCTAATAGGTGTGGCCCAGTGGTTCACCTACCATAACCCCAGTCAGATCCCAAATACAGTGGGATTCACTCACACTTTGCAACAAGAATGAAAATAAAGTGACAACATCGCAAATTCTCATCTTCATCACACTGCTCTGAGAGTCTCTTGTGGATCTCATTTGAACAAGGCAGTTATTATAATAACTTAATATAATATAATAAGATGCCTCAAAGTGTAATGAAGAAGATACTTTGGCGATAGGAAAACAAGACAATTCCAAATCTGCTACTGACTAGTTGATTGAAATAGGTATCTCAACCTCTCTCTATCTCCAGTTCTTCATCTATAAAACTGTGATACTACTGTTTTCCCCAAGAGGATTATCTAATGTGTCTAAAAAATTCCTAGCACACTAGAGGTTATTAAGTTATGGTGATGGTAGTGGTGGTAGTAGCCATCATGGAATATATATAATGAGGTCATGCCATGTGTATTAGGAGTCAAACATGTAACACTGCTGCATTAAGAGGCATTTCAGAAAATAAGGCAAACAGGTATGAAGTCATGATCAAATAAAAAATTGGAAAACTTCATAAATATGCCAAAGATTGTCTTCAAATTGTTCAGGATAGAGGGATTTAAGATGGACTAGAGCTATAAAGCCTTCTTATAAGAAGCCATCTCATGTTTATAAAGACATTTAGAGACTCAGACAATCTTGATTCCATTCAAATGGAATATATTTTAGGACCAGGCAAACCTAGATACAAAGCAAGGCTAACTCCTCCGAGGTCAGGGACAGCCTGCTCACTCTTCTCCACTTTCCCTTCTCTGAGCTTCCCTTAGTCTTGATCATTCGGCTAAACATAGCTAAAGATTTATTCTTTGGAAAAGCACCTACTTTTAATAATGACCGAAGAACTGAGGAAAATTTATAGGAGAGACACTTAATTATGAAAGCATCTTCTACTCAAACCCAGAAAGGCTTTCTTGATCAAATAATCCATTCTTAGGGTTACTCTGAATATAAAGAGACCATTTAAACTATTTCATAGTGTTTGGCAAATGACAAACTTATCATAAATATCATTATCATTTATCATCATCATCAATATTCTAGTAAAGGCATACCTATTTCTCCTGCTACCTGTATACCCTGAGAAAAGTCTTGTGTCTTCAGAAATGTGTTTGTGTTGTGTGTGTATGTGTGTGTCTGTCTGTCTTAGTCCCCTTGAACTGCTCTAACATAATATACCAGATGGCTTATAAAGAACAAAAATCTTCATTTCACGATTCTGGAAACCAGAAGTCCAAGATCAAGCTATCAGAAGATATGGTGTCTGATGAGAGGCCACTTCCTGCCTTGTAGATGGCCATCTTCTTGCTGTTTCTCACCTGGTAGAAGGGACTAGAGATTCTGTGGCATCACTGATAAAGACACTAATCCCATCATGAGGTCTCCATCTTCATGCCCTTTTTACCTTCCAAAGCTAGACTATTAGGGAGAGGGAAGTCCACACTCTCCTACAGCTTCAATTTTCAGTTCTGATGGTCACTTCTGTTTACATTATAAGGATGCTGTCATGTATTTGCTGGGGCACAGCATTCAGTCTATGGCAGGAAGCAATCTTGTGCTCTTAAAGGGTATTTCATTTCAAACTAAATCATGCTATTTAAAACAATGAAGCAGGGACCTCCCTGGTGGTGCAAGGAATTAAGTCAAAGCACTATGAAGCTATCTGCAGCCACTGCAGCATAAGTTCGATCCCTGGCCAGGGAGGTGGCCCATATGGCACAGCAGACCTCTCCTGTCTTGCCCGCTGCTCCCCTCAGCAGTGTATTTCAGTCAATATGCCTGTTCTGTTCCCCACTCTGTCTCTGGTCAATCCTCTCATCCCCCACACCTCTGGCCTATACTCCAGTTATTGTATACATAAATAAATAAATCTTTAAAAAAATAAAATAATGAAACAAATGTGGTGTTTATAGAAGCTTATCAGCGTGGTTCTGCAAAGGTCCTACAACTAGGCATTATATTGTCAGCACTGCATCCTATTGAAGGGCTGGAAATGACAGGCAATGCAAAACAGCAAATATAGTTCAACAATTGTTTTTTTGAGTTTTGAAAACATATTTTATTCCAGATTGAACTTGTGAATCCTTAATGGTTTGGACTAAGTTTGCTAAGCTGTGCTAAGATGAGTTAGGTTTTTTTTTTTTTTTCCCCTGTGATACAAAAAAAGAGAGAGTAACACATAATGATGCCCTAGTTTTCATTACTGAAATATCAAAATAAAAAGTTGCCACCCACAGATTTCCCAGAAGGCAAACTGTTTCCATGGGATTCTATAATCTAGCCAAAACTTTTTGGATACAGAGAAAAATCCCATTCCAGCTAGCTCAAGTGAAGGACATGGACTGCTCTACCTTTAAATTCATGACCAAACTTCCAGTAAGTCTTTAATACTGACAGATAATATTATTTCACCTGATTCATTCATTCTCCCTCTCTCCAAAACAGCGACTTCATACCTTCTCCCCTGTCCTCTGACTTTCTCAACACCTCCTCCCTGCTCTCCCTCTCAGCAGAGGACCTTGTTCCCACCTCACTAAGAAAGTGAATCATCAGAAGAGAACTTAGCATGCTCCCCCCACTAGGACACCCACCAGCGTCCACACCCACACACTCTGCCCCTGCTGTTACCAGGCTCCCATCTAAATATAATTTCATCTTGCCCACTCAGGGGTTGACTCTAGCAGTACGCCCTCTCTCCCTCATAGCTTTAGTGTTCAGTACTCTCCCAATCAGTCCCATTAATATTATAAGCCTGCTGCCGCTATTTCTTCCAAATTCAAGCAAAACACAACTAGACCTTCCTGTTACTCAGTGAACCCTGTTCCTCGTTGCTACCATATCACTTCTTTGTTCCCTTTTGTAGCAAAATGCCTTTAGTTACCTTGAGTCTCTAAGAGTCTTTCTCTTTTATATTATTATGATTATTTTATTGAGATCACGTTGGTTTACAATGCAGCATGTGATTCCAAGAATAGGAATTCAGTTATAAGATGCATGTTACCACACCACGCCCATGCAGAGGCACCCATGATCCTCACCATAGACTATAGGTCTCCCTCCACACCCTGCTCTCCACTCTTCCTCTCCAGCTTTGGTAGCCTCAATTCTGCAGACACAGTTCTAGGATTTGTTTTCGTTTGGTTTAATTTGTTACTTTATTTTGTGTCTCTGTATTCCACATGTGCGTGACATCACCGGTACTTGTCTTTATCCTTCTGACCTATTTCACACTGCATGACCCTATTGTCCAGTTTCAGCTATGTTGCTACAAGTGGCAAGAGTTCATCTTTTTTTTTTTTTTTTTAAGTTGAGTAGTATTCCATGGTATATACTTCTCATTTAGCCACATCCTTCTTATATATGCCATATCTTCTAAATCCACACACCTATCCTTGGGCACTTAGGTTGTTTCCACAGTGTGGCTATTGAAAATAGTGTTGTAATGAACATAGGAGTGCATATATCACTATGAATTAGTTGGTTTTTTTTTTTTTTTTGCATTCTTTGGATAAATACCTAGGAGCAAAATTGCTGGATCACATGGTATAACTATTTTTAATATTTTGAGAAAACTCTATAATGTTTTTCATGGGACTAGACCAGTCTATATCCACACACTGTATATGTGTTCTTTTTTCTCTGTATCCTTGCCAGCACTTGAATTTCTGGTCTTTTTGATATGGTCATTCTCACAAATGTAAGATAGTATCTCACTGTGCTTTTGATTCACATTTTCCTGATAATAAATGATGATGAGCATTTTTTCATATGCCTATTGATAATCTGTATGTCTTCTTTGGGGAAGTGTCTATTTTAGCTCTTCTACCCATTTTTATTTTTTTTTTTTGAGTTGCTTATATATCTTACATGTTAGTCCCTTGTCAGTTTTATGATGTGCAAATATTTTCTCCCATCTGGGAAGGTATCTTTTATTTTTAATGATAGTTTCTTTCACTCTAAAGAATCATTTTAGTTTTATGTAATCCCATTTGATTATCATTGCTTTTGTTTCCCTTGCTGGTGGATTAGCCCCCCAAAACTGCCCTGAAGCCAGTGTCTTAGAATGTTTTGCCTATGTTTTCTTTTATGTTTGTTATGATTTCAGTTCTTACATTTAAATCCATTTTTAGTTAATTTTGTATGTGATTTCTAATGATATCTAGTTTAATTATTTTTGCTGTGGTTGTCCAGTGTTTAAAACACCATTTGTTGAATAGACTCTCTTTTCTCACTAGATCAGCTCTCCATACAAGTGTGGGTTTATTTCTGGGGTCTCATTTCCATTCCATAGATCTGCATGTCTACTTTTATTTCAGTACCAAACTATTTTGATTACTGTAGCTTTTAGTATAATTCAAAGTCTGTGAAGATGATACCCCTGTTCTTCCTCTTTTTTGTCAGGGCAGCTATTTGTGGTTCCATATACATTTCAATAATGTATGTTTTATTGCTTTAAAGAATGTCATTGAAGTATTGACAATGAATGCATTAAATACATATATATATATATATATATATATATATATATATATATATGTAAGTTGGCCATTTTAACAGCATCAAT